TCCTTCTGCTGTCCAACCTAAATCTCCCCTGGCACAGCTTGAGGTTATATCTTCTGATCCTGTCTCTAGCTGCTGTGGAGGAAAGGCTGATCCCCACCTGCTACAACCTCCTTTCAGGTAGTTGTAGAGAGTGAAAAGGTCACTCCTAAGCCTCCTTTCCTCCAGGAGGAGGAAAAGCAGCCCCAGCTCCCTCAGCCACTCTTCATAGGACTTACTCCCTAGATCCTTCACCAGCTTCATTGCCCTTCTCTGGACTCACTCAAGCACCTCAATGTCTTTCTTGTAGTGAAGAGCCCCAAGATGCAGCCTCACCTGGGCTGAGTATGGGGGGGGTGATCACTTCCCTCGTCCTGCTGGCCAGACTATTTCTAACATAATCCAGGATGCCATTGGCCTTCTTGACCACCTGGGCACACTGCTGGCTCATGACAGTGACACCCCTCATGACAAGACACCCCTAGTGTCTCTTCCACTGGGCAGCTTTCCAGCCCCTCTTTCCCCAGCCTGTAGAGCTGCATGGGATTATTGTGACTCAAGTGCAGGCCTTGGCACTTGGCCTTGTTGAACCTCATAACGTTGGCCTGGGCCCATTGATCCAGCCTGTCCCGATCCTTCTGCAGAGCCTTGTTACCCTCCAGCAGATCAACACTCCTGTCCAACTTGGCAGCTTCTGTATGCCAGTTTCCTGTAAATATTCTAAGTTTGTGGAGAATTTCTTGATAATAAAATGACCTATGTGAATATTGACACAGTCTTAACTTTAGACATTCATATTGTTGACTTAAGAGACTGCAGAAAACAGGACTCCAAGCCAATTTAGTGTATAAGATAAGATAAAGAGAGTAGGTCCTTTAATTTGAGGCCTGAGGCCTACAGGAATACACGACATGTCTCTCGTGTCCATGGGGTTCCACAATTTAAGGTATTATTCTAACCAATCCCAGATCTATCCACCCCTAGGTCCTTGCCCCAGCACGGCCCTCTGGAAATTGAGGCAGGGGGTTCTGGGACACCCCCTTCCCCATCTTCCTCTTCCTCACAGCGCATTCAGTCCTTGGAGTTTCCGCAAAGTCCTGGGTTTGAAATTCGCTTTGCCTGTGTGATATCTTGTTGTTCAAGCCAGGGTGCAGATGCTCTTAAACAGAATGAAGGCCTACCTTGAGGGATGTCTAAACAAGCTAACAGAATTTTGAGGGAATGATATGGAATGGGGTAACAGTGTTGGGTAAATGTGTAAAGTACTGTGCTACAGGGTAGGGGATATAATATAGCTACTTCTAAAATCTACAGAGAGCTAAAATCCAAAAATCCATAGACATCAATATCTTAAGTAAGACAAAGGTATCACTGAAGAAAAACTTTTAACTAGATATTAAACTTTTATAATACTAAGTAGCAGAAGCTTTCTTAGTTAAGCTGCTTTACTCAACAAACTCACTTTAGTAAAGTCTTATTTCCCACTGACTCACCTTTCAGCATGTGGAGATGACTGCTCCCTTGCCTTTAAGTTTTCCTTCTTGAAGTATGCACAGCTTTCCTGGACTGCTTTGCCTTTCAGGACTGCCTTCCAAGGGACTCTCTCAACCAACCTCCTAAAAAGGCCAAAGCCTGCCCTGCAGAAGTTCAAGACAGCAGTTCTTATGACACCACCACCACCCCCTTCCTTACTTCTCCAAGAGCAGAAAACTCATTTTGTGATCACTTTGCCCAAGATGGTCTCCAAACACTACATCACCCACCAATCCTTCTCTGTTCACAAACAACAGGTCCAGCAGGATGTCTTCCCTGTTTGGCTCACTCACCAGTTGTGACAGATAGTTCACTTCCACACACTTCAGGAATATCCTGCTGTGTTTTATTTCCAGCAGACATTTGGAAAGTTGGAAGTCCCCCACAAGAACAAGTGGTAGTGATTGTGAGACTTCTCCCTGCTGCTGATTTTGTTTGCCTCTTCATCTTGGTTGGGTGGTCTGTAATAGACTCCCACCAGGAAATCTGCCCTGTTGACTTTCCCCCTGATTTTTACCCACACTCAACCCTGTTTACACTGTTTTCAAGCTCTAGAGAATCAAAACACTTCTTAATATACAGGATTACCCCACTGCCTGTCCTTCCTTGCCTATCCCTTCTGAAGAGTTTATAGCCATCCATCACAGCACTGCAGTTCTGTGAGACCTCCCACCATGTTTCTGTGATGGCAGCTATGCCATAATTTTCCCGCTGCACAATGGCTTCCAGCTACTCCTCTTTGTTGCCCATGCTGTGTGCATTGGTGTGATGCACTTCAGTTGGGCTATTGATCCTGCTGCTTTTTGGGGGGAGAAACTCTAATTTCTACATGATCATTCTCACACATTTATATGGTTTCTAACACACCAATAACCCTTGTGTCTTTGCTGCTGCATGGATCTCCATCCCCTACCATTGCTGAGATGGCAGACCAAAGGATCTCTCTAGTACATCGTTTCTTAAACATTAATGAGCCACCCCCAGGCTTATCCCTAATGAGCTTTATTTTATATGCTGGCTTACTGACTCTTCCCTCATCATTCTCTGCAACATGAAGGACAGAGGACTGCTACTGATCATTGTTCAAAAAAAAGTTGATGAACTAGATTGATTACCAGTATGAGGTGACATAAAAAGGAAAAGAAAGAAATCACATTTTATTTCCCTGAATTACCAATTTCATAATTTTATGTATGCTGAGGGAAAAAGACTAGGGAGTTTGAAAGACTGATTTACAAAACCTGCAAAAGAAAAAAAAGGTCAAGTAAAGTGTAGACACTGGTACACAAAGTGTAGACACTGCCTATTAATGGTGTTTATCTGGGCATGGAATTGCTCACAGGAATGTTCACTTACTTTTCTAAATTTTATCTGTTTACCTGTATGTTATTCTGTGCACATGAATGACTAACACATATGTTTGGCAATAAAAATATTTATACATGTTTCTTTATGTTAGTCTCATATAAGAGTAACTTTTTTAGTCTAGTAAGAGTTCCAGGTACAGTATGAATGCATACAATCCTGTACAGCTTATTTTTTTCCACTTGTAAAGGACTGTAAAGGAAAAATAACTACAAAATATTCTTAAACATATCCTGCTTAAAATTATGCAGGAATTACTCATGGCAGAATAATCAAATCTTATAACAGCATTATATAATGTGCCATTAATACCGTGGAACACATTAACTTACCTCATCTTATGAAGCATAAGAACGTGAGTTGGGATTCTTGGGATTCAGATTTGCATTCATGTGTCACCACTGCAACTAGGTATCTAAGCTACCAATAACATTGATGGAGGTTTGGTCTATGATTCATGGACCCACATGTGAATGTCTACATCTATTTGAGTTAACAAAGGATGTACCACTTAGCTGCCAGCTGCCACTCCCCATGGCTCCCATTTAAGTAACTTCCAATAAATCATGCATTGTATATGCCAGTCCCATGAGGATGTTTTGGATACTCCAAGAAATCTTAGGTGGCACCATTCATTTATTTTTGGGCAATTGAGTAGCCTTTTTAAATGTCTGTCTTCACAGGAGCTGAATAAGCTACTGAGCTTCACTGACTGTGTTGACAAAGGGCTCTGGTCACTTGCCCAAAGAGCTGAAACCATTCAGAACAGTAGTGGACACCAGGTAGGTTTTTTATAGCATCACAATTGGTACTCATTGTTGGTATTTTAGCAATTGAATCCAATAACTGCAGTTATAGTTTAGAGATACAGAGCGGGTATGTAAATATCTATATGTAGACATATAAAGATACCTTAATTTAACATTGAATCTTAACCTTGCTGTTATCCCGAGATAAAATGGACTTATATGTGTATGTTCATATAGATATATAGTATCTAATATGTGTTTTTTCTGAACTATGAAAAAGAATTACTAATTCAGAGGGATCCTGCAGACTCAAGAAATGGCTTGATAGGAACATCAAAAAGTTCAGGAAAGGGAAATGCTGAGTCCTCTACCTGAGGAGGAATAATCCCATGCAACAGTACAGGCTGATGCATGCCAGGTAGAAAGCAGTTTGCAGAGAAAGACCTTGAGTTCCTAATGGACACGTAGTTGAACATTAGCTCACACTGTGCCCTGGCAGCAAAGACAACCAACTACCTCCCAGGCTGAATTAGGAGAAATGTTGTCAGGAGATCAAAGAAGGTGATCCTCCCCCTCTGTTCAACACCTGTGAGACCACATCTCCAGTGCTATGTCCAGAGACATGGACATGGTGAATGGAGTCCTGCAAAGGGCCATGAAGATTTTTAAGGTATGGGAACAAATCTTATAAAAGGACAGGCAGTCTGTTTGGCATGGAGAAGAAAAGATGAAGGGAGGGATCTTATTAAAGTATATAAATACTGTAAATAAATAAGGGGAGTAAAGAAGATGGAAACAAACTCTTTTCAGTGGTGCCCAGTGACAGGATACAATGGGCACAATGGACAATGGGCACAAACTGAAATATAATAGACAACATTTAAATGTAAGAAAAAATTTTTCTACCAGGAGTGCTCAAAACCCAGAAGAGTTAGCCCAGGGACTCAGTAGAGTCTCCACCCTTGGAGACATTCAAATACCAACTGGACTTGGCCCTGGACAACTTACTCCAAGTGAGTCTGCTCAGAGCATAGGGTTGGTCTAGGTGATCTCCAGGGGCCCTTTCCATGACTCAGTGATACTGTGATCTCTTTTTCACAACTTGTTTTTAAGAGAAAGCCTATCATAGACAGTCATAGACAATTTTAGCATAAAATATTATAAAAGAAAACATGATTCTGTGTGACTCTACAGGTGTTTAAAAAAACCACAGGTTAAATTTATTACACAAAAAACTTTTTGTTAATATTTAGGTGAAGATCAGAGGCTCATACTATACAACATATCATAAATATTCACCAGATCCCTTGTTCCAGACTTGTGAGTGGGGATAAACAGACGACAATGAGATACGTATATCAAGCCAGAGCTAAGCAGTTACCAAAGACTGAGAAATAGTATTACCAAACTAATCAGCATAAATGTTATATAATTGGCCATTGTTGTACATCCTGCTCCACTTGTGTCTAAAGTGATGCCATCGTTGATTTGATGGATTTGCTTTACGTCACTGAGGTTCGTCTTGTCTGGCATCCCTGCTGAGACAAACAAGAAAATACAGAATGATGTATGCCTTGTCACTACTGGCAACATATTATAGCTAGAACAAATTTAAATATCCTCAGCACACAGACTGTCACAGCTTGGTTTCTAATTCCCATGCAACTGCCAAATTTAAATCCTTTATAATTGCATCTAGAAACACACACTACACTATATGGTTATTCATCATTGAAAGCAGTTCAGAGGTCTACCAGCTATGAACAAAATTGTTCTTGTAGAAATATATCTCAACAAACATTTGGAAACCGAAGTGAACAGTTTTGCAAGTCCCAGTAGTATCTAAAAGTTTACTGCTCACATCTTTCTTGAATTTGAAGAAAAAAAGAAATAATTTAATGTGAAACTTTTTGTGCCTGGGTCCCAAAAATATTCCAAAATAATGTATACCTGATGGAAGGTATGTAGAAAAATGCAGTTGTTGCTACATAAACCTCCATTTTGGCACAATTTAAACAGGACTTACAACGTTGTAAGGCAAAATTTTAAAGCTAATTTTAAACAGGAACTTTTTCACTGAGTTCCCAGCTGAATATTTGTACTTTTTTTGGACCAGGGTAAACATTTCTCCAACTCAAAACAGTACCTTGTATGGAACAAGGATGTAATCACCCATTATATTTCCTCTGCCTGGTTACACATTGGAAACAGAAGGTCTTGTAGACACACTGAAATTTGGTAGCATTTTCAGCTTGTGTCTACTGTGCGTGCTTCTACACTAACTGTCTTATCCTATATAATAACTTGTGGCATGCCACTATCAATCAAAATTAACAAGTCTAAATTTAGTGTTATTACATACAACAAATATTGACATTGTAATTACACTGAGACTGAAAAAGGCTTCATATAAAGTAAAGTCAATATTTATGTAATTAGGTCAATACATATATAATTCAGAAGGTAAACTCTACTGCTGGAACAGCAGCATTAGAAAGAAGCTCAGCTCTACTGAGCTGACATATTGATTTTACAGTCTGAGTTTCTGCATTGGTATTCATTGTTTAGTTACTTCTTTCCTCTCTGTATCATTAGGAAAGATGAACAAAGTAGTGAACCTTTTTTTTTTTTTTGATTATTCAAAGGGACTAGGATGAAATATAAATATTTTAGTCATGGTGTTATCTTCTTTGTTAAGTTGGTTTAACAGAAGCTGCAGAGGATATTCATTTTTAAAAAGAACAACTTTTTTTTGGTGCTTGTGTTAAAAGTACTCTTTTCTCTAAAAGCAACTTGAAAGATGCTTCTTGTGAACTTATGGTCTATGTACTCAAATATCCTTCTTGCAGCTTTAAAAAAAAAGCATTACGGGAAGAGTCAGCTTAAGTCAACCATGTTGTTTGAAAAAAACTGCTAGATCTTGTCTGAAGAAAACATAGTCTTCTATGCTGCTGTACTAAGCAGAATATACTGCTATTTTGTGTGGATTTATCAATCCAATTCTCTTCCTAGAATTTGTGAAAATTAGCTCCGTAAGTACAATGCAAGTGGACATACAAGAAAGAAGAGTGACAATAGATGTTGGGAAGGAGAGAATACAACCTTTCTTCATCATGCACGCTCAGTAACCTGTCTAGAAAAAGAGCAGTCACTCAACACTTCACTGAATGTTTGTTGGGTGGATCATCGATATCGAGGTATATCAAGGTGTTTTTTTCAGGGAAGTTCTGTAAGTAGAACAACAGCAAAACAAAGCAAAAAAATGGTTTGTATAATTTCTCCAGAGTTTTAGTGAGGTTTTCTTGTATTTAAAAAGTCTAATTTCAACAGGCAGTGAAAAATTCATCTCTCACCTATAAAACAAAGCAGTTTGCTGAGTGCTATAGGTATAACAAAATAGATTTTTCGCAGTGTATTTACAGATACATTATCACAGTAGTGAGAGATAGATCCTTAACCAGGATATCACTTATAAAAGCAAATTACCATAAAAATGAAATATAGCTCCCAGGTCTTTCAGTTGAAGAAATAAGCAGCTTCAGTTAGAGTATGTGTTCTGAATCTGAAGGCAATGTCACTAGATATTAATTACTGACTGGAGAGTCAGGTTTAATTTCTAGTGAAAATTTAATTTACAATATTATGGAAAATAGAGATTTCTTTTGATGGATTTTTTTTCCTCTTTTTTCCAGCCTCAAATGAAAACTACAGACTTTGGAAGTTCCCATGAAAACAGAAAACAGTGTTTAAAAAAAATGTTAAAACCTATCAATATATTTTCCTTTGATCAATTAAAATGTCATAAATAATTTAACATACTCTTTGCTGCTCAATTAATACACTGTTAGGATTGTAGTATAAACATATAGCAAACCTTTATCCTATTCAGCCCCATAGATCTATGCCAAAACTTTGACTTTATTGAAATAAGGTTTAAAAAATTATATAGGTATAATCTGGTGAAAAAAAAATCACTGAAAAAAACCTACACTCCTTAAAAATAGCCTGTTTGAACAGAACTGTCTTTTGATTCCAGAATGCTATGTTACTGGGGTTTTTTTATGTAGCTCTAATAAGTATAACTATGAATTTAATTCCTGCACCTGGGCTATACTTTCTATTTAAATAAGTAGGTTCTGTTGTCCATTATGCATCAGGATTTAAACATATATGCCACCTTTCGTAAATCATTATCAGTAACAGAAACAATCCTTCTCTCTAAATGAATTTAATCTCCATAGTTCACAGCATACTTGCGATGAGAGCTATCCAAACATTTGTAGCAGAACAGACCAAACACAAAGCAAACTTATTTGGTTATAGTCTCTCCACATGCCTGAAGCTGGAGTTATGTTATAGAAAAGGCATTTAAGTTTCCCAAGTATTTCAAATTTCCTCTGATAAATGTCTAATTTAATATCAAAATCATACTAGAAATAATATTTTGACTGGAAAATGGTAAAACTCAGAAGTCTCAGTGGAGATTCAGATTGGATTTTTTTCTGAAGAAAAGTTATAATTTGCATAAACCTGTATAAAGCAAAGCTGACAAATATCACATACTTGTCCCTGACATCAACTCTGAAAGTCAGTAACTGGCTGCAATCTAAAGTATTGTCCTACTCTGGTTTAGAAAAAAAAAATCAGTAAAATAATTTCACCGAACATTGTGATTACTATTACAGCATCTCATTATATTATAACAGCTGCAGAGTATTTCTAATGCTTTTTAACGTGTTCTAAAGATATTTAAGGCTTGTGAGAGATAAAGGTACTGGCAGCCTTGAGAGCTGATCTGTTGTGTTCTCCAGAGTAACTGCAGCAACAATACAATTTCCTTTCAATATTCAGCAAGAACCTTTGATTTGAAAAGTCAATCATAAAGTCATGGAAGATTTTCATTTGACATGGATCTTGTCTACTGCAATTGTCAAAACATTACAAAAATGGGCTATGATTTTGGGGTAGTAGATGCTTGCCTACCAAGGGCCATGCTGGGACTTTGAATATATTAAAAGTATTAAATGAAACATCCTCTGACAATGGCCTACTTTGAAACCAAACCAGAAAGTTTGAAACCTCAACCACCTTACTGTATTATCTTCTGTCTGCTGAGTAACACATAACAGAACTAACACGGGGATTCAAGGGAAACAGATGGTGCAAAATAAGCTGCTGTGGATATCCCATTGGACACAAACCCAGAAAAAGAGTTAAGAGAGGAGAAAGAACTGGATTTCTCTCTGTGCAACACTCTTATGATGTTCTGAAAGATTCCAAATACAGCCTTTATGGAACCTGCATTATCTATGAACCTCAAATATGAAGAAAAATTTAAGTAAGGATGGGATAGTGTTTCAGATAGGAAAGAATGTGTAGTGTAGCACTGTAAAGTTGTAGGCAAAATTCTTCTTAGAAGAAAAATAATTATTTAAATCATAGTAATTGAAATTTCAGGACCTTTTAACACATAGGCTCTGAAGAAAACCATCACTACTTGAAGTTCTGTTCAAAATTTGTAAGAAAGATCATAAAGAAGCTTTATGAGAGGTTAAAGAAATACATAAAGCCTAGATGGATAGACCAAAACCCTGATTTGACATAGATGAATTTTTAAATATGAAGTTGAAAATGTAGTTTAGAATAGTGAGATACCTGGAAAAAGATGACATGTGGGCGTGCTGGACATGAATTTATAGACGTCAGTGAAGAGCAATAGCATTTTGGGGAAGTAGAAAAATTTGGATGAAGCTGATAAAGTAAGCTGAAGAAGTTGTAGGGAAAGGCAGCAAGAAGAATAGCATAATGATTAAGTGGAATGAAGGGACAGTGATATCAGAGCAATGGGCTTAGGAATTTGCAGCAAACAAGAGTTAGGACAATCTCCTTACTGTGTCAAGTAAAAATCAACACTGACTAATGTAGATGTATTTTTGTAGTATGAAAGAAGATGTAATATTAATTTGATTCCTGCAATTCACAGTAGTAATTTCTCAATAGTGACTTTATGTAAACTTAAAAAAAATACATTAATTTAACAACAATAACCAACTATTTACTTTGCATTTTCATTCCCTAAATTAAAATGACATACTAGTTCCAAAAACTTCTTTTTTATTGTTCAATCTTTTGTCAGCTGGAGCTTTCAAAACTTCTAATGGATGTTTTCTCCCTTTATTTCACTAGACCTTTTTTTGTCAGGTTTTATTCCTAACTATACAATATCATGAAAATATTTCAAAACATAGTTATATTAACTAAATCACAGAGCTGTGCTTAAATACCCCAGAAACACTTCAGTTATACATAGTGGTTCCTATGAAAACTTTAATTTCCTACTTTAAAGAGAAAATATATATATTAACCTAATGAACAGTAAAAAAAAAAAAGAAAAAAAAATACTGAGTATAGGTCAGATTATCCCCCAGCTAGTGCATTTAAGCCATAACTCTTAAACGCATCACAAAATACTTATCAGTCTCACGTGCTTAGAAAGAAAAGTAGAAACAATGGACTGCCTCTACTATTATTCAAA